TACCATGAAACGCATGAGAAATTGTGACTTAATTTCATATGATGAAATGATGCCATTAAATGTAAAACATGTGTAGAAACAAAAATGGTTAAAAAGTCTTATCAAAGCATTCAAAAGAACTTCTAGCATATTAGAATTAATTCATTTCGATATATTTGAATTGAATGGCATGCTAACAAGAGGTGAAAATAGATATTTCATAACATTTATTGATGATTGCTCAAGATATACATATGTTTATTTAATGAAATATAAACATGAAGCCTTTAATTTGTTTAAGACTTATAAGAATGAAGTTGAAAATCACTTAAATAAGAAAATAAAGACCTTAAGAAGTGATAGAGGTGGTGAATACTTTTCTAGTGAATTTAATTTATATTGTGAACAACATGACATAATTTACCAATGTTCTGCACCTAAGACACCCTAACAAAACGGTTTGGCTAAAAAGAAGAATAGAACCTTAATTGAAATGATTAATGTCATGCTTATATATACTAAGTTGTCGTTTAATTTATAGAGTGAAGCCTTATTAAGTGCATGTAGGATACTTAATAGGATTCCTTCTAAATATATAAAGGTTTCTCCATATGAATTGTGGAAAGGAAGAAAATTGAACATTGGATACTTCAAAGTGTGGGTGTGTTTTGTTTATTGTAAGAACACAAATCCTAATAGGACCAAATTAGGTTCAAGAAGCATTAAATGTGCTTTTGTTGGATATGCTAATAATAGCAAATCTTATAGATTGCTAAATTTGGAGACCAATGTGATTATTGAATCAAGTGATGTAGAGTTCTTTGAAGATTTGTTATTATCGGATAATGAATTGAAGGGAAATATTGAAAACATCCCTAACTCAAGAGGAACACGTGATAAAATGTCTTCTAAAGATGTTGATGAGTCTAGTGAACCACGAAAAAGTAAGAGAACTCGAGTTGAGAAGTCTTTGGGATCGGATGAAATTGATTCTCAACTTATCTCCTTTTACTTAGTAGAATGAAATGAGTTGAATATTGTAAAAATAATTCATTTTGTTCTACAAGTGGAAACCGACCCTAGAACCTATAAAGAAGCTATTGCTTTTCGTGATAGTATTTTTTTTAAAAATGCAATTAAAGATAAAACGAATTCGATAATGTCTAATAAAACTTGGGAACTTGTCGATCTATCACCAGGATCCAAATCTATTGAATGTAAATGGGTATTTAGGAAGAAATATAATGTTGATGGCTCTCTAAATACTTTCAAGGCTGATTAGTAGCTAAAGGATATCGACAAAAGGAATGAATCGACTATTTTGACACTTATGGACCGGTAGCTAGAATAACATCGATTAGAATATTATTCGCATAGGCCTCAATATATGACTTGCATGTTCATCAAATGGATGTCAAGACGACATTCTTAAACGGAGATCTCGATTAGGAGGTCTATATGGAGCAATACGAAGGGTTTGTTCTACCTGAAAATGAACATAAGGTATGCAAGTTAGTAAAATTTTTATATGGTTTGAAGCAGGCACCTAAGAAATGGCATAAGAAGTTTGACTTAGCTATAACATCATTCGGAATTAAATATAATAGTGTAGATAGATGTTTATATTTTAAAGTGTATGATGATTATGTGACATTTATATGTTTATATGTTGACGACATGTTGAAGGATCTTGGTCAAGTGGATACCATTTTAGGTATCAAAGACACAAAGACTAGTAGGGATTATCACCAAAGTCAATCACATTATATTGAGAAAGTGATAAACAAGTTCAAACACTTGAACATAAAAGAATACAGTACTCCAATTGACCCAAGTTCAAAACTTGTAAAGAATGATGGAAGGGCGATTGTTCAATTGGAATATGCTAGTGTTATAGGAAGTCTTATGTATACAGTTCAATGCAAAAGACAGGACAAAGCTTATGCCATAAGTAAATTTAGCAGGTTTACTAGCAATCCGAGTAATAATTATTGAAAGGCCACTGGAAGAATTGTTTGATACTTAAAGAAAACCAAGAACCTGGACATGTAATATACTAAATTCCCGACGGTATTGGAAGGATTTATCGACGCTAGTTGGATATCTAACACGGGTGAGAGTAAATCCACTTCGAGTTGGATGTTCACTCTTGGAGGAGGTGTTGTTTCTTGGTAATCAAAGAAACAAATATGTATAACACACTTGACCATGGAATCTGAATTTGTAGCCCTATCGGATACCGGGAAAAAGGCTGAGTGACTTAAAGATCTCCTTCATGAGATACATTTGGGATCGAAGAATATTTCTTCAACACCTATCATGTGTGATAGTCAAGCCACATTAGGAAAAGCATATAATGAGGTATATAACAGAAAGTCTAGATATATGAATCTTAGACATGACTATATAAGGAAATTAATCAAGAATGGAATAATTTTCCTAAATTATGTAAGGTCAATTGAGAATTTGACGGATCCTTTGGCTAAACCTCTAAACAGAGATTTAGTAGCATCTACATCAAGTAAGATGAGGTTGAAACTCCTTAACTAAAAATGTTCACCAATGACAGCAACCCTACCTGTCATTACTCAAAAGGTAATTTACGGGTTCAAGAGGTAACAACAAGTCATTCGATATGTAGATAGTTGCAGCATTATTGAAATCCGCAATAATCCTATCATAATTAAAATAATGATGGTTGTTACTGAAATAAGGGATGAACTTTAAGCTCCTAATGAAGTTCAGTACTAAAACACAAGTACCTCTAAAAGTAACAAAGGTACTGGAAGAATTTCACCTACATAATCTTCAAGATGGTGCCGCCTTAATAGAGAGTTGGAGTTTTTCTCTTAAAAGATTGTTGAAAAGGATAAGCACAATGTCATAAAAGCACTAAACGAGTTATGAGGAACTTTAGAACACGTAGTACTCGTGTGTGTATTCTTACCGGTATTGTCATATGAAATAACTGGTTCAAAGCTACAGCTACTTTTGATTTCGACTATACTTTGTTTGAATTACACTATGGTTAGATTCAAATCGAAAGATATTTAATCCTTATGCATAAATATCGTATACTGTGAATATGAGACTTGTTAATTTTGAACAAGTGGGGGATTGTTGAAAATTTGTTGTTCAAAATCAACAATTAACGTGTATGGAACGAAAAAGGGGAGTTAGGCTAAAAATTGGGCCCAAGTTACTACCATGCGACTGCATGGTTATCTTGGCCATGTGGTCGCATGTCCATATACCGAGGCCCTTTGAACCATGCGATCGCATGGATTTGTACAATGCGGTCGCATGGTACAATCTTTTTGGCCATTGGAGGCCGTTTTCTCCCATTGAAAATTTAAATTTGGTGACTTTTGACTTATAGTTTGATACAATTTCGTGAATGTGGTATATGCCTATATATATTGGATCCATACTGAAGGTAAAAACATCAAGGTTCCATATTACTTTCAAAATCAAATATTAAAGTCTTTTAAAAACCATATTCAATATTCATCCCTTGTGTTTTTCAATTTTTCTAAGATTTGCACTTGTATTTTGGTGCTTAAATCCTTACAAGGCTTGTTATAATCCTGCAAACCATTTGCCAACAACCTTCAAAGCATCTCAAATTCATAGAAGAATGGGCAAATATCATTTGAGGACAACGATATCGTGTTCAAGCCATTCGTTGATACAAGTTCGTGATCATCTTATTATTGGTATTGCCAGTTCGTGTCTCGTGATTTCTATTCCAACCCGGTGAAATTTTTACAACACATAGAAGGTTCGCTTGGCGTCACTGCTCCAGCTGTTGAGCAGCAGCTCCTTGGATTTCTTATGTAATGGTTATATCATATATACCTTGAAGAATGTCAATAAACAAAACTTTCAATGGTTGAATAATAGCGGCGAACCAGAAAGTGGGATCTAAATAACAATAAAAAATAACGTATCTCATATAAAATCTTAATAAATAATTAATTACATATTTTGATGACGTCTCCATTAATGAACCTTTAAATACCAACTCTAAATCCATCTCTAAAGTGGGCACTTTTCTCAAGAAATGAGTACTTTGTTAGCTTGTTCGGATTGGCAAATAGAAAAATGCAAGCAAGATTTACTCGGGAATGGATCGGTTTTTCCAACAATTTACGTGGATCCATTCCACGCCATCAATTTGCCATTAACTTTGAACAAGCATGCATATTATGCTCATGTTTGATTTAGATTAAAATCAAATTCTTAGTAAATTTTAATAAAAGTAAATATAAAATTATGAGTTCTATAAAATGTGTAGTTTAAATTTATTCTTGACCGACTTAAATTTTCATTAAATATTTTAGCTATATCAAAAATGCGGTTACCCGAATACAATGTCACGATTAAAAATTCACTTCTCTGCATACATATAGAGTCAGACATTCGTGCTTTAGTTTAGGTTAAGTCGAAATTGTAATTGGCAATTCCCAAAGCAAAATCAAGTCCTAGTTGAATTGTATTAGGTGTTTATCGAGTTATAATCAAAGTCAAAATAGTGAAAGATTGATAGTATAGTTCTTGAGGAGTCTAAGATGTTAGAGATGTCAAAAAAGGTAAAATATGATCAAGAGAATGCAATTAGAAGTTCAGAAATTAATAAAGAGCCGCAAAGGTTATGCTCCAAATTTTTAGTCACAACTTGCAATGCATTTTTCACATAGAAGACTTTCGAATTTGGAGAATTTTACGTCTAGAATAATTGTAGCCTTTTGAGTCAGCTTTCTAACACAATTTGAATCACCTCAATCCGATAACGGAAGATAAAATTATGAAGAAAATAGTGAAAACTGTTCGGTTGCCGCTCTACTGTCGCTCGCCTAGAGCTCGAGTGACAGGTTGACGTTCGAAAATTTGTTTTACTTCAAACATTTGATTTTTCAATCATTTTTCATCCCGAACACTACACATTATAAATATAGACCCTATGGTATGTCTAAAAGTGTATTGAATCGAATTTATTCCATAAATATTAATTCTTTGATGATCCAAAACATTCATTGATTTCAAAATTCAACCGCCACATATTACATGATTCATAAATTCTTCCAAAATATATTTTTGTTGATCAACCTATATTGTTTCATATTAAACCACAAGATCAAAACATAGAAGGTCATTTGATCAAACAGCAAACCACGTAATCCACCAAAGATAAATCAATACCAAGAATCGTGAGCTGTTGTAGAAACACAAATTGAAGAGGACTAAGGTGAGGTACCAGGATTCGGGATCTGACATCAGGAGCACGCAGACTACGTAGTCCATGAGGGCGTATAAACGAGGTGTCAAAATTTGTTTTGAAGGTACACACCCCGAACAGGATCAAGAGAAACCGCTAGAATTGAAGTCAGAAGTTCTACGAGGTAGACAGATTTGGTCTGTGTTGTAAGTTTGCTTCGTTGTGCCCAAAGTTTTTATCCAGTTGGTATTTCTTCGTGATTATCTTTGATGTTCTTTACTACTTTAATTATTGATTGTTGCATTTAACCCATAAGATAATTAAAGTTGATTAACTAATCACCTAGAAAGAATTAAACGTGATTTTTGTTGCTTTTTAATTGCTTATTTTCGCAAGTTCGGTCTAAATAAATAAATATTCGGCCAATTAGAACTTTCAATTTCTATATAAAGTTCGTATTCGAGTATTATTTTCATCAATCTTTTATCCCAAATACAGAATAAGTTACAATCCATCAGGAGAAGCCATTTCTCTTTCTCAATGTTGCTTGGGTTTCTAACGACTGGATTATTATTTCTGCAATTTCCTTCATTCTTGCGAACAAATTGTTCTCTTGACAGGACCTTTGTGGTAAGAATCTTCGAATATCAAAATAAAATCATTTACAGTATTTTTTTTTTTTTTTTTTACTTAATGGAGGCCTTGAAGAACTGTAAGAAAGTGCAAGAATGAGATCTAAGTTAGCCTGTTATGGCATTTTAATCTTTTGAAGAGGCAAATTAACAAATACAAGAAGTTTAGGTACATAACAATAATTTCTTTAGGGGTGTAAATGAAATAAACACATAAATTTATGCGTGCAAGATGCATTTTTCATTATATCGGTGTAGTTTTATAGGATCGCAGGGCAAATTGTAATTTTTAATACTAAAATATAACAATAGTTATAACTTCACTGAAACAAATAAATAAAAATGGATTCTGCTTGAACAGGGCCACGTTCAAACAGGGGCGCCATGTTCAATTTCCTATGTTGAATAAATGCAAACCAGAAGAATGGCTTCTTATGTTGGCATCCCAGAGATGCGTGTCTCTCCCATATAGCATCCAGAATATAGCAAGATCTAATTTTTCTTCTATCTTCAAGCACAAAAGTGGTGTTGTATCCAGTCTCAATCCCTGGGTCTCTTCAATCTGCTAGATTTCTATTTGACATTATGTGTTGGAACACTCAGATAAAATTTAGTGTTATTGAAATCATCCAACAAGGGGTTGTATCCATCTTTGGTTCTTGTCTTGGAGGGAAGGCCGAATTCTTCCATAAAAGATGACGTGTCAAGCTACACGAAATCAGCAATGCAGGCATCAGAAGCAGGTAGTTAATATAGATATCGATGGTGCTACATGTAAATAATGGTTCGCACACACATGATATAATGAAATATGACTGAGTCAAAATTTCTTCAACCATATACCCAAAAAAAATTAAAACAAAAACTCCTCCATTATCTTTTTGACACATCATCTATATGTAAATTATTATATAATTCCATTATGTACAAATAGCATTATTCATATAGGTATTTAGACGAAAAATTCCACCAGACTTATATTTATCCAGCAGCCAACATCAGTGTAGTCTATTAAGGCTAATTCTGCATTACAGGGAAAATGAATTCAAGAAAATGGGCATTGCATTCTTTCCACTTAAAACACCCTCAGTCTTCAGTATTCACACATCATTAAATCTAAAATAGGGAAGGGGCAAAACAAGGAAGTGTGCATCGTCAAAAACAGGTTCGTGGAATGGCTTGTGGCTTTCAATGATTAAAATTTGAGCCAGTTCAGTCAAATAGTGGGTTTTGGTGAACCCGCCTTGAACGAGACCTATGATATGTTACTAAATCACCATTAGTTCCTTTTAACCAACATGAGTAGGCTGCCTCTATTCTGCCTTGGTCTGCTCTCTTTCACTCTCACTAGCATAGCTATTTCTGTCTATTTTAAAATTTATTCTCTTCATCTTTTAGTTTAATTCAAAAATTCATCAGCAAGAAAATGAGCACATCCACGAAGCATTCCTGGTCATCCATTGCCGAGAAAGAAAATGTGACAGAAAATTATATATAACTTCCTTATAAATCCTCAGAACGAATTTTTGGTTCTGAAGTCAAATTACTGCTCGTTTACCCGCTCATCAGTGCCATCATGAGAGCGGTGAAAGTGTCAAAGAAAGCATACTTCAGATATTTCAAACAACTTCATAGCAATAGAAAATAACATTATTAGGTATGCCAAAGGCAGTATTTGCAAAGAGTTCCTTATATGCCCTAATCAGTTAGGTACTCCGAACTCAAAAAATCAGTAAAAAAATGCAAGAAGGGAAAAATCAATGTCCCATATTAGATGTGACGTGACTGGCCTGGATGGATCCTTTATATTCATGATTCTGCCTTTTTAGTTCGTAATATGGCAGCTATCTAATGCCTGTCTGTTTAAAGGTTCAGGCCAGGGGGTGAGGTGATAAGAGCCGGTTCAAGGCAAGTTGCAGGTTGGAAATTTCGCCAAACCAGACAGGAACCAACCCATTTACATTCCCAACAAAAAGCTGGATTTCGTAAACTGGATTAGCATAATATATTTACGGTCAACTTCAGAAAAGGAAATATGAATGACCTTTTACATAAGAATACTGTAAGTTCAGCTTAACGATTCTCTCAGTTGATAGTTTATAAATCTCCTAAGGTAATGTCTTTTGTAACCTTTAGTAAAAATTTTAGTAACCAAGATCTAATTTCAAATCAAATCTGATTTAAAGCGAGAAAAATGCAGATTGAAACACTTAACAACACAACCAAAAATTACCGTAATTGTCCGTCTCTTCTTTCCCTTCTTCAACGATTTATGTTGGTTTGGCTTCAACTGTCTAGAACAATAATGATCCATGCGTTCCAGAAGCCAGAAATCTGTAGGGAAAAAGATATCAGCATCACCCTGCAGGAAAAAAAATTGTAAAAATATTAATGAACGTTTAAGGGTCACAACAACCACTATTCTAAGATAGGAAATTGCCTCATAAAGAAAGAACTCGAGCAAATGACATGCATTAGTCACATAACATGTTCAACTCTTATCAATGTACCCAGTCCTCAAAAACATACTCATCCAAGAAACAGATTTAGGAAATTTTACCTTTAAAATGGCTGATGAATGGTTACTATCCTATTTCCCGGAAAGACAACACATTGGAATGGGTTCTCCAAAAAGATGGATCATAAAATGATAGGTTTTCTACAAAATGCAGCAACTGGAGTAATTTTTGTTCCCAGCTTGTTCTCGCTGAAATCTTGTTAGAACCTGTTACTGATTTTATAGCATACAAAGAGTCATCTCACACAATTAATGCTTGTCAAGTTCAAAACATGGCATTTGTATATGATTTACAAACTTAAGTCAATACAAATTTTAACTCTACAAAATGTACGACCGATAAAAGTGGAAAGTTCAGCATAGACCGAACAAGCTTTGAAAAGGTCCATATGTAAATGCAGCAATCAACATCAGAAGGCTTCTGTAATTTATCAGATAGTAAGAGCTTAGGGAATAACATCAACCTAGAGAGCTATCTATAATTACAACTTGCACTTGTTAAATGAACAAGACGCTTAGGATATCCAGCCTTTCATGTTAATCTTACTCCCTATATTGTATATCATAACATATTTCAGACATTGTTCACGTAAACACAGACAAATCTAGTTGTGTTATAATCTGGACTACTACCCATAAACCAACGAAGGAGAAAGGAAAGTGAAATATAACACACCTTTGCATCCAGATAAGTGTTGTAATCTGAACTATTGCCGTCTTTCTGCAAATGAATAAGCAAAAAGGTTAATGAACTGCATATACCATCATGCAGATCCAATTTGCTTTCTTTAGTTAGATAAAAGTGAGCTTTTCTTATAAATCTGCCACATTTCGAAGGCTAACTTATGACTCCATTGACTGACGGAAAGAATTCATAAAGAATGTTATATCAACAGTCAGTCACCATGACTTCCAACACTACAACCCCCAAAACAACACAACATACATGTCTACCTTCCAAAACAGACACGAAGCAGCAAATATCTAATACAAGTCTCTAACACTAATCCACAACTATAATTTACTAAATAATTAACATGTTTTATCACTGATATTATTTTTTAATCTATAATATGTACTTTTTTTAATTGAGAATTCAATTCTCTCACTACTCATAAATATTTATGTAACATAACTTTTGAGTAACATAATAATCGTTTACTATTGTTATGAATGATGTGTCCCCATACTAGTATACGAAGCCAGGCAAATATTCCTTGTTGTCATTGAATAAGGAAATAGTAGAAATGCTCTCTGGAGATAAGCTTCTTTGCATCTTAAAGTCATTAACATTGACATTACGNTATAAGCAGCTCCATCAAATGCAATGAACTAAAGAAAGATATCCATGGACTAATCCTTGATTATGTGCCTCATTCTGATCGAACGAGAAATTAGATTAATGAGATAAAATACATTGAACAAAACCTGATGATAAAACTGCCCTTCTATACTGCTATTCGTTAGATCAATTTTCTCTAAGCCTCTATTTCATGTATCTTTAGCACCTATTTGACAACCACTATTTGGGGAAAATAAAGTTTTGAATAGTGATTTTTAGGACAATGTATGATTAAAAAGTAGGGAAAAATTTTGAGGCTATGTGCAAAATATTTTATTGTGTGAATATGTGGTTGAAAATGAGTAGGTTGAAAAAAGAGTTTGAAAATAATGGTTGTCAAACAGAAGCTTATTCTTTAGAGAATCAACAAGTGAGATCTTACTGAGGGTCATTGAAATTGCTCAACATAGAAACCATGGTATCCCTATAGGGATATAACATCACCTTGAGCCAATGACTTTTAAAACCACAACCACTGATAGTTTCTACTTAAGTCATATTTAAAATGAGATTTCAAATATTAGATGTTACCGTGATTGCATGGTGCGAAGTGACTCGATGAAAGCTGAATGTCAAGAGACGTTGATAATCTTTTATTCCTCCAAATTACAAATACGCGGATTTGAAGGAGTGTAATATTAGTAGATCAAGGACATTTCAAAATAGAAAATTTGACTTGTGAAGTAATATTAAAGGCCGAGGTTATGCTTCAGCAGTTGTTACATTAGTGAATAATGTGCAACATATTTGATGAACGAGAAAATACTAGTAGAATTGGGCTTCTATGTAATTTTTGTTGCAAATTCTAAAAGTTCTAGATCCAAACACACCTTCCAAAATCTGTTCTTATTTATTCCCCTCCTTCAGTCATAGGCATTGTCTACTTATTTCTATGGTTTTGCTTCATTAATTAATTATGCATTTTTTAATTAAATACCGGTCATTCCAGGCCAGTTTCAGAACATTTGATCAGTTTATAGTTGGCTTGCCTAAACCCTATAATGGACAACCCTAGTAGAGAACAAGATTGGTACCTCAACCTATTTTGAGAGCAAAGCAACATGGAGGCTGCCTCAATTGGGCTAATCAACATGCTTTGACAAGGCCAAGAGTCACGTTTCTTGCAATGATTTTATAACATTAAAATAGCATGTAGAAAATACAATATAAAATTGTCAGTTTTAATGTCAACGCAAGTACAGTGCAAATATAGATACATCATAAGGAATTACTGGTACCTGTCATGTTGCTTTTCAACCCACACTTCCATCCAAGGTGAAACTTGATTTTCAGAAAAGATCAGATCATGTGGAAGATTATCAAGTAACTAGGAGTAATAAGAAAACACTTATTAGCTAGTAAACAAGGTTGGAACTGACATATAAAGAAGCTTGTCTTCTTGACAAGGATGTTGATGTCAACAACATGAAGAAAGATAACCTTGTTAATTCACCAGTCAATTTCTAATATTGATGAGAAACATACAATACAAAAGTTAAAATCCTGAACACTTAAAAGTCCATAGATAAAGTGATATACCTCTAACATTATGACCCAGCAAGGTTGTTGCTCGATCCCTGTTTCAAAAACGCGCCTTCAGTGTGACAGTTTCAAGCACCATGAAATGACTTTTAAGGGAAAGAAAATTGTTCGCAGGTGAAGGAAATGCAATTAACAAGAAGAAGGATATGCCAGGAAATTTAAGGTAGCATACCCCACCCATTTGGGTCAGCAGCATCACGGCACTCTACTCTAAACTTTGCCAAGTGACTATTTACTTCTCCAACAGTTTCTTGTTGCTTTTTGGCTAGTGAAGGACTGATTTCTACTGAACTGCAGTAAATTAAAAGAACGACAATATAACTTTACACAATAAAGGATCCGACCTTTGGCCAGCTAGACCAAGCTTGGGTGATGTAACAGGAATTATATCTTCAATATATAAAAAAATCTGTGTACATTATTTGCACGTGCGCGCACAAATATTCTAGATGTTTGTTCAAGAATAATAAACAGTAAATAAAAATCAATAAATAGCATTGATACGGTGGAAGAGCAATTATTTCAAGTTGAAAGCACCTTACACATTCATTAAAATTTCCAGCACAATGCAATCGAGCCTGCTCTAGAAGTAATAAACCTAGCAAAGATATATTTTGGACAGTGAAGCATTCAAAGTTCAACCTCAAAACGTTTCAAATTGTGAAAATTAATCAATGAATCTTTGGTTGAATTGTTCCAATAATTCAAGATATCAAACAAAAGCAATTTGAAGCATATTAGTGTACAGTTCAAGAGTCTACCCCTTAAAACTGATGCTATACTACCTATTCTAGAACTGAAAGTATCATGGGACATTCTTGTTACTTCAAGTATACAATAATTCTCAAACTCAATAAAACATTTAGCTATTTTTACTGCATATATGATCCATTTCAACACTTTGTGAATGAAAACCAGAAAGCTTATTTCCATCATCACCAGGTTGTTTAAGAAACTTTTTGAAGTCCTTTAATATACAATTGTGAAAGAAATAAGCGATTGCAACATAGCCAAGAAAAATAGGTAAAACAAGTGTTGGGAGAGGTGGGAAGAAAATATTCATTAATTTATACAAATGGCATATACTTGCATGCATATAGGGAGGGGGAAGGAGGGAGGCACTAGACAGCTATGAGGAAATATGGAGTACAGGAGTAATAAAGAATAAAGGTTAGAATAACTTGTATTGTATAGGTTTCATGTCCATAAGGAACCAATATTAATTCCAATAACATTTTAACCCAAAAGCATCTCAGTTTTGATACAGTACCAATAACAAGCATAAGCACATCACATACATGTAACTCATATTATCATAAACTCTTGTTGGTGCGTTCAGTTTTATGTAATCCATTACACCCTTTGCACAAGTTCCTGATCCACCTCCAATCTCATATATCTGAAAAAGAAAAATAGTAGTAGGAAAATACTTCAATTTTTTTAGCTTGATTTTAGGAGATAAAGGATATGCAAACTCATGACTCAAGGTAACATGCGGGTTCCAATTATCTTGAGGATTAAGAAGAAAAAAAGTAATCAACTTAATTAAAAAACTATAGCAGTAATTTTCCAGAAGATACAAAATAGACAAGGCATAAAGCCATAAACTCTTTCTTGACAATGAAAAAGAAAATTCCTCCTGACAATTATTGAAGGGAAGAATTTCTTGTTTCCAGATATAACTCAACATTGCTGAAATGTAAAGAATGTAATATTAATTGTTATATTGAACATAGAATGGAGTCTTTATATTCCTGAATTGCTGAAATGGGAAGAATGCAATATTAATTGTTATATTGAACGTAGAATGGAGTTTTTATACTCCTGAACAGGGGTTGTCTTGACCTGAAGCCACTGATACTGCTTACCCATGTGTCACAGTTGTAAAGTTTTCAGGTTTTGGGAGCTCAAAGGTGACTAAAATAAGAGGCTCTCGATATAAGTAATGATATTATAATGCTGCAGCTAAGCTTTCCACTTTCTAGAACTATAAACAGGTTTTACCTTATGTGTTTTGATATTAACCAGAACTATGCAGCTTTGTGTTTTTTAAGGGAATACTCCAAACTGTTGTGATGTTTCCTAATTATCATTATCATCATATTTCATGGAAGGATTCATAAATAGACCAAATTAACAATAACAATGGAATTAACTAACTAGACACGCATAAGCTCATATCATATCAAGAACTTTAATAATGAGTCTTATTAAATCATCCAATCAGAAAACTCAGAAACTTACTTTTAACGGAACAGAGAGGTTCGTAGTCCGCATGATTGCTTCAGCAATTCCATGAGCATACCAAGGCTAAAAAGAAAAACTTAGAATGTTAATTCACCTAGAATGCAAGTAGAAAAGAAAAGGATAATGAAGATTAAGACGGTATTTTCTTTTCTTAATTAGTATGCAGATAGAATACAGTCATTAACATGTGACAGACTAAACTAATGTTTACCTTAAGTTTAAGAGGGGTGGAGAAACACCAAAAGAAGAAAAAGAAAAGAAACTACTCATTATTACTCTGATGAGGCAAATGAAACATCATATATAGAGGTAGATTACGTCAGCTTACGAGCAAGTCGAGTTTATGTAACTAAGTTCTCATTTCAGACAGTTTTGCCTAACCTTTATGATAGATTATAGTAAAAATAGCCAGTTCAAACAATTTATTTAAGTAATTGGCTTAACATTTTCATGGTAAGTCAATGTTTGGGCGTCCATGAAAGCAACTCGATCTCATAGCTTGTTTTTGGAAGAAATTTATGTAATTCAGTTCCTCAAAGCCATTCAGCAGATAATACAATAACATACCTTAAAGAGCTCAACTGGAGTAAACCATGAGATATCACTTTGCTTGTAGATTTTATCTAGGTGTTGCATATAAGCTTTACGTCCTGAAATATTGGAGCATGAATTATCATTTTGTATGGCTAACTTTATATGTAATTGAAAAATTATGACAAACTATTATTTAGAAGAGAAATCAAACAACTCCAACAAAAAGGTAAGGGATGGTATGTAGCTGCAAGCAATGCTTTCAAAAGTGCCCTAGGCTTACGCCTTGAGCTATGCCTCATGTGAGGCCTTCATCAAGAGCCTCAAAGTTAATGCTTTGAGCACCATTTGTCAAGGCTTAAGGCTTGACTTACTAAGCCGCACACTTCGTCAGGGCACCTAACGTTAAGCTCCCTAGTCTAATAGTCATGCCATATCTAATTTTTCAATTTTTTTCTCTTTTACGGGCATCAACTTTGGGATGGTTTTTCATATCCTAGAACTTTTTAAGGTTTTTGGTGTTCTTTAAGCCATACCAACCCTTAAAACTTAAAAAGGTTAATGGAGATTAGGTGAGAGAACAAGTAAAAACCCAGGAAGCAAAACTCTCGAGACGGACAGAAGACGTTGACATAACTTCACTCCTCTTTTAAACTTTTCCAGTTTATTTGTTTTTGCGTTTTCC